CGATAAGTCATGACCGAAACCGTTTTACTTTGGTTTTCGCTTTACACATGTTGAAGAACCACCGTACCCTCACCCGTCACTGACACATCAACAGATATTCCCCATACCCCGGCTAATCACGATGTTGAAGTACTACTTCCAAATATCGGTTCAAACCAAATCATCGCGCTTGTTGATTCCGACTATGATACTTCCGATCCAGGCCAGCCAACACATACCGAATTCAGCCGTGGTCTGGTGCGACATTGGCTTACCCCATCCTCGCTTCTCGACCGGATTAGGACGGATAACCTGGTCCTTCTCGGTATTTCGTACTCTGCACTAACCCATTCCGCGGCACTACACGGCGCAGACCCGATCTGTACCACAGAGGTGGGTACTCTACTTAGTAGGTCAGCAAGCAAATATATAGAACATTCGATAGTAACAGTGTTTTGTCAACACCGGCCCGAATTGACTCAGCACATATCTTCCATTGTCGACTCATTTGGCCCAAGCTTCAAACGGTAATTTACTGACCACTTCTTTCCATCAATCTTTCCTGAACCACTACAGCGACTATGAGAGCCATACCATATGTTCATACATTGTATCATACATACTTGCCATTTTTGAAATAAATAATATTATCCCTATTGTCTATATGATCCGCTCTAATCACTCTCTACGTCGGTCTAGATTTATTTATGTTCTAGTTACTAAGACTAGATATCATTTCATTGGACGCATATTTTACATTTCACGCCTCGAAACAATTATCTACCCAAACTAACCAATAAAATATCTCTAAGTCCAACTTAAGAAAATAAAAAATAAAATCAAAACACCAAGTCGGAGCAGTATACATCTGCATCTAAACCCCATCACTTGGTACCTAGCTGTCCATCCCATTTAAGGCATAGACGGGCACATCTAGTTGGCTGGCTAGGAGGAATCAAAACCATGTTGTCCTAAATTCTAACAACTCTGATCTTGTCCTTTTCTCAGTGGATCATCTTGCTCTGAGATCATTATCGAATTATACCATAGGTTTGTACCAACAACCATTTCATGTCTGAGACCCTCTCTCATGGTACTCTCGTTAAATAGAGATTCCCAAAGTGTCATTTTCAGGTGTCAGATTTATATCATTCCTGTATTATGTACGATTCTAATTTCAGTGGAAAAAACCCAATCTATATTTGGAAAACCACCTAATTGTCCACAGTAGAGTCCCATACTCTACTGAGTACTATCACATGTTCAGAATCTTAAATATCTCAATTCTTGTTCATGTCCAATTCGTTGAACGTATTCCAGTATTATAAGTAAAACGTTAATGCGTTAATACGTTTATAATATACGTTAACTGTGCAACTACTATTGGGAACCCGCTATTTTTACACTTGCGAGAGACTCACAATGTGGCCTTATTAAAAAGACAAAATAGATGAAATGCTACCAAAAAGATAGCAGAGTGTCAGGTTGGAGACAGAGTTAACATCCGTCAACGTAATTCGGATGCTACTGTACTAATATCGAAATGGATAGGACCATACATAATCTCTGTAGCCGACACTAAAAGTGGAACCTATGAGGTTAATAACTCCGACGGTTCTAGTGCTTCAAACATAGGCACTAGTCGGATTCCGACTACCGAGATTGTACTCGCAAGAAGACATGACTTTAATATGCCCCTCTTGGTCATTCTGAATTTAAAGACATTATATAGAGAACGGATAAAGGATGTTATACATACTATCGTCCACGCTTTATAGACGGTACAATCGCTGAGGTGACTTCAGATGCTTTCGATAATCAAGACTATTTAAAAGCCTTTATTCAAAAATGGCATAAACGCCTACATAAGTCACAGGCTGAAAAAGATAGCATGTTCCCATCGACTGAAGGCACGGAAGTTAAAACTTACCCACCAACACCGTTTACCCCGAGCTTTACTGCTCATCCTTCGTATGTTTCAAAAACATTGAAGCGTAAGAAACGTCCAGTCGACCAGCACGGACCTAGTGGACCTAAACCCAAAACTCACCGGGTAAACGAGAACGCTTAACTGCTCCGCCTGAGAAACAATAACTATACGTTATGCTACTCAATGTTTTCGACCCGTTTTCCTTTCTCGCTTTTTGACCCATAATCAGCTTGAGTGAGCAGCTTGCTTCTCCTGGGTCTCAAAGCTGGGTGGGGGCTGTGTAAAAGCCGGGCCTCCACATTAGAATCTGGTAATAAAAACGTACTCTTAATAGTACGTAAAACGTACTATTAAATGTACGCAAAACGTACTATTAAATGTACGTAAACTCAGTTTTCCTTAAATGGGTTTTAACGGTTTTATTAATTAATACCTTTTCATTTTACATATCAGATATTTGAACAGTGCCATTAAAAGGCTCCAGTAAAATACCAAACATAAGACTTGGTCTAGTTCTATTAATAGAACTATATTTACTTTCCAAATCTATTTATATCTGAATACTTCGGTAGCGAGATGGCTCAACCGAATGTAGGTTTCTAAGGAGTATTAGCGTTGCTTAGTTTATCCTCCGTTCAACCAACCAGATGTGCCAGTCTGATGAAGGCTAAGTCGGTAATTCTTGATAAGTGGCAAGTTATTGGTTTATGCAATAACTATAGACATCAGGAGTAATTTTTCTTTTCTTTTCTAAAGATAGGATTTTATGAGTCTCTCGGGTTCGCCCCAACGAAACATACCATAGTTTCTAATAGAGCGACAACGAAACACTAAATAAAATCCCTTCGGCGAAAACAGTACTGAGAGGATTATATATAGGCAATGTCTCAGCCTCCCAATCCCTCAGAATATTGTTGTTTTCACGAGGCATACCTAACTTTACTAAAAGACTCATTTCGTTTATCTATTTCGAATTTAATTATACTTAGACTTAACCTAAGCGTTTAATTACTCTAAGGCGTTAATATCGCCTTGATAGACCGATTCTTACAACAGCACAACGCTTTTTGTAACATGCTACAACAAAGACCGAGATGCCTACATTACCGAATACATATGTACCTTTAACGAAGTGTATGTGGTGAGGGCGAGAACTAGTGGCAAGGCGTCTTGTGTTGGAAGCGTCAGAAAGAGTAGAACAGTAGGTATGGCCGACGGTATTCCTTTGGTCGCATATTTTGCCATTGGAATGATGGTCAAATTGACCGTCAACATAATTCCCGAACTATGCTTGGCCAACCAATCTCGTGGGATCATACGGGATATTATATACAAGGATGGCTACAAATAAGACGAGATTCCCGTACTGGTGGTAGAGATTCCGGAATACAAAGGAGAAGCATACATACCCACAGATACTGATTTTACTTCAGGAACCAACATCAGCAATGAAAGAACAAAAAAAAACTAAATATGTGATCATTGGTGCAACTAAACCTATATGTGACTGTAAAAAGTGTACACGAACAGAGCTGCCTAAACGGGTTGCTAAAGCTGACTCAGTACATAGCATGCAGGGTATGAAAATAGGTTTTCAAAAAGCAATAAGACGCATGATGCTGAAATATATCTTTTATGTAGGCGGAAGTAGAGTGCAAACAAAGAACGACGTACTACTGGTGCATCCTATATCTTCGGCCGATATGAAAAGAGTAGCAACTACAGCCACGTGGAAAACACAAGACGAACACCTAAAGAAGATACACACCAAAGCTGACGAACAAATAGACAACCGCAAAACACAGCATGCAAGTCGATATCCACATGAGCCCCCGTGGTGATCTAAAGAGCATTTCATAAGTGTGTTTCAAAAATTTGTCACTGAACAGCACAACAGAATCACTACAACAGACTACAATGGATCAACAGAGAAAGCCAGAACAATGATAGAGGCATGTCTGGATGAATGGTCAACACGTATTCAAGATTTAAATTAATAAAAATATATAAATATTCAGATACGAGAAGCATCAGTATACACACACATGTACAGATATACCGTATATAAATATGTGCATATGTATATATATAAATATATATTATATATACTGTAAATTCACACATGCATGCACTACATATGTATAAGTATATTCATCTGCATATATACATATACATATATATATATATATATATATATATATACATATATATATATACTGCAATTTCACACCATATGTAAATATATATTTAAATATATATATATACCGTAAACAAGTATAAAAGTATATTAATATAAATATAAATATAAATATAAATATATATATATATATACATATACATAAATACCGAATATAAAAATTGTAATATGTTTGTATATATGTATATGTATATGC